TGGTAATGGCTTTCATACTTCGCTGCCAAGTCATTGTTTGACCGCCTCTGGCCCTCTTCCACCCTTCACGTGGTTGTGCGAAAAGAGCCCTTCGAGGAAGTTGGTCGACTGGCATACGCAACACGTGGCCAAGCCAGCGTAACCTATGCAGTGCGATCAGTTCATCTAACGAGGGTGAGTTGTTTCTCCCGAATACCATTCGACGTACTTCAGAATTGCTAATCCGGTGTTCCCACCAGATTCGGGCAATGCTCCGAAAACATCAATGATCAAACACTGGGTCTTTTGACGTCCTCGGCGCGCAGCTGCCAGGTTTCTGATCCATATAGTAATATGGAGCGCACCGCAGCATTATAAACTCGACCCTTGACATAGAAGCTGATGTCATACCTACGCCATAGGTGACGTCGCATCGCAAAAGCTGCTCTGGCCGTCCCAATCCGGATGGAAATTTCATCTTTCGTGAGACCACCGGGACTGATACAGCTGCCCAACAAATTTGTTATTTAGATTATTTAATATTGTTTGTAAAATGGCTTGAAAAATGCTAGAAATTCAAGACGAAGAGATCCTTTGAGTTTATTCCCGTTCAAGTGAGCTTGAGGGCTTTTTTGGCAGACACTACAGGTTACGTATGCATGGTCTAAATAATCAATTTCGTAAGTTTAGAAGGATTGCTGTACCTTGCCTCAGAGTCACAAATGAAGTACGAGCCTTCGGAATGAAGTGAGCTCAGACACACGTTTCGAAGAACGATGCTTATGAAATGAAACAACTGTACAGTGCTTCTCGGCTTTTCAGCATTTACGAGTTTCACCAACATGACGAAATATTTATTAAGCGTACTCAAATCTCACACACTTCCAACAAGGATCAGTCAAATTTCCCCATATAAACACCGATAAGGAAACAAGATGTACACATTAGTGGCATAGGCTGATGGGTCTTTCCACAATGGGTGATTCTCAGCGGCTGTTACCTAAGAATAATCGTCTCTGAGGAGTTGAGAGCACCTACTTTGATGTCTTTCATCAAGCCTGATCTAATCGCTGTTTGGGAGCGCCGAGCAACTGTGATGGTCGAAAGCACAGTATTGAATGGAGGTGGAATGTGAAGAAGCCGAATTACGGTGCTGATGATTGTTCTGTCGTCATAATATCACCGTTACGTGCAACCGGTTGTGATGTCTTTTTGGTCCACCAACCAATGATAATCTCTCATCAAAGGGTTTGCTTTCCTCAATCTGCCAAGGCTGTTATTGGACTGAAACTTCCTAAGGTCACAGTCGGCGACTTGAGTTTGCTTGCCATTGTGGGCTTTCTTCGTAATTACGACAATTTTGTGCGTAATACATGGCGTTGAGTGTTCATTCTCACCACTGATTTTCATACTTGACTCAGTATGACAGACTCTCTGTGCGTGATATGTGCGCCTTGAAGAGCATTTAGCATTGCTTGTCCTTTTTTCAGTTACTGGTCTATACACGCAAGTTTCCATACCAAACATTCTTATATACTTTGGAATTCATTTTGTCTGACCGGAACTGTTGGTAGCATGCTTTTGAATGAGATGCTTCCCTCCGTTTATTCAGTATTCTCCTGTATACACTTCCACGTCTATCGCTTGGATATACATTTCATATCTGCGACCGTGCGCTTAAAAATAAACAACGTTTATACATATGTGTATGCATATATTCATATGTATGTATGCGCGTGCAGGCTTGTCTGTCTGGACCTTGGTTACGGTGTGCTTCAGTTTGTCGTCGCGTCGATTGTGGTGCGTCATTGTTCACATTCCTCCTATCCGGGATTCCGGTCCCATCACAATGGTTGATGTATTTCGAATGTGCGCTGATCTCTGGTGCTTCAGCGCACACCCGTTCCGCGTGTGGCCCAATTTCTGATTAGTGGATGCGTGTACCATAAGTGACCATTAGTTGGTCTGACCCGCGTTCGTGAATTTCGATATTTCAATAAAAACACAGCTTGGACAGGTTCTGATTAGGAATTTGAACAAAGACACATTAGTAATGCACTACTCATAAGGTTGCTGAAACTCCATCGACAGCCCATTTTCAGTAACCTTATGAGTAATGCATTACAAATATACATGTATCGCGATATTTCAAATATCGTAGCGACTGAAACATGAGGCGGCCCGGTGCAGCACATTCAGTTGCCTGAGAACATCATAAACGAGAGATTCCGCTGGGTTCCAGGTGAGTCTGTCGAAAGAACCAAATTAGTTTGCAGATGAGTGTATATTCGCTAAAGACACATTAGTTTCAGGCATTCACTTTTGAAAGTGAACTGAGGTGAGTAAGCTGATGACCCACCTTTTTAGTCCTACTGCAATCTGTGGATACACATATCGCAATGGCATGGACTGGGCTGAGATTGACACCCTTCCAAACCGGTCGCCCCTTTAAAACACCGGGACGTGTCCTGTTCTGAAGTTCTAACGTCTTGCAAATGACTGTCACCTAAGGCTCTCCATCACGGACAAGACCCTCCAGTTATTAAAAATGATGACTATACGCACTTAATAGTTACCCCAATTGCGTAATTCCGTTTTTTTTCGGATTCAGAAACCACAGTCTAGTTGATGTGACTTTAATCTTGAGTGATCTAACTACTGAAACTGGTTTCGTATTGGCCTCACCTGATATTCAGATGACTTCCGTGGTTGGGTCTTGGCTTGAGGTGAAGGACTTCTCTATACGCTGTTGATGCGACTGATAAAGCATCTGGGCATACCGTCTATTGTGCATAAATTTTGCAGCGCTAACATGTCGCACAACGGTGCGACGTTGCTGTCCAGCTATCGACGCATAAGTGGTGATCGCCGCAGGCTTGTTTCTAAAGGCAGCCAACGGCCGTACTGGCTTTTGTAACTTGTGGGTTCATCTCTTCACTAGGCTTCGAATCTGTGAACATGGATCCCCAGTGGTTAGGACCACTCTTAAGACAGCAATTCCTTCGAAAGCTTTCTGTTCCATGCCAATTAGTCCTAATTATTTATCAAGACAAGATCAGACCTATTGAATGGATCATCTACCACCAACCGGAGATTACCATCAATGCATCGGACCGGATACTATTCAGTTAAATCTATCCAACCAACCACCTTGTTTGTAACAGTAATAAAATGTCCAATCACGCTGTTCATGCAAACTGAATGCTGTCAGATTAATTCAACATCAGACCACCACTTCTTTCAGGTTATGCTCTTACGGGCCTGGAGAAATACTCCAGCCATGTGCGTTACCATACAGCAAAACAATTATTTTTGTGTAAACTGAATCGAAAACAAATTTGATCAGCAACTAAATGTTTCAGAAATCCTGTCAGATTTTGACAAAACTGTGTGATTTCCCTTAGGAGATACTTGCCTAACAAGTGGGCACCTATATTAGATGCATTTCCTGAATATCTTAAGCAATGACAGCCAATAAACCTCTGTTTTGTATGGAATTTGTTCACGAAACTATCTCGATTGATTCAAATTGTTTCTTGTTTCAGCATTATTCTCGTTGTACCCACCTCTCGGGAAGCAGTTCTATGGAAAATATTCTTATATTTAGAATGTTTGGTATGCTTACTTACATATTTACTTTATAAAGTAGCATTGAGGCATTGTTTATACACTAATTAACAAGCGGTTGGTTGACGAATCCATATCTGGAATAAGCGAGGTGCCGATCGGATTTAGTTCGATCGTTTATTCCGGGAAACCATCCTCATATTCAATCACGGGGAACACTTAGGATAAGCGTCCACCAAGTTTACAGTGTGTTGTAAACTGTGGCGAAAGTTCACTGTTAGGCCCACCCAGCAACCCATACACTTGCTAGTCATCAAATCAGTCTTACTTCCTTTGCTCAGATCAGCCTGAAGCTGAACACTCAAAAACCATGGCAGTGTTGCTCTGGTTAGCTGGGTGTCCCATCCCACTCCGCACTGACGGTGTCATCCAGATTGGTGATAAAAAAATTTGTAAGCTCGAGGAACAGACCAAGAGCCCAGTAGGAATCATACGGATATCGTGACAGTCACTAATTGAAGGAGTGCAGGTGCGAAGCCTAAAGATAAGTATTTATTTTTATCACTTGCAGGTTTACATTTCTATGGTTTTTACTGAATCAAATGGATAGTGGTGCAAAATGTGTATACACTTTGCTTCTGGGACCTACAGTAACAAGTTTCCGGCAGAAAGCCTGGAGGGTAGTTGGGTATAATTCCCATTAGCCCACCGATTCCAACGGCTGTTATCCATCTAGTTGCTAATACACCATCAAGCGAACCTGAGGAGAGAAAGGAAATTTGCTTTCCTGAATCATGGAGAGTAATTTTGACGAAAAGGTAGTTGAAAACACATACCTAAGAGTAAATGGACAGTCACCAGAAGACTAACAGTTCAGCTCGTATGCAGTCGATAACCAGCAGACAAAAACTCCTCATAGCTGAACGTACAACTGTGTCAAGTTGTACACCGCAAGCTCAACCGCTGGACTCAATCTAACTTAGGCATTGTCCCGGTAGATTATGTGCAGTACCGTTATGACGGTGGTAGTCAACGACTGGATTCAAATATAAGGTGAGATTGTTGATGCCGGCCAACTTTTGTTTAGTGAATGTAAATTAAGCACAGGGATTTCGTCTACAAAGATTTGGTGTATATTACCAATTAGTCGTGTTAATAATCTCTGTAGAGTTGGGAAATGGTTGATGCCATCAGAGTATTTTTGTAGATGTTCGCATCTAATAAAATAACAGAAAGATACCTCTCATGTACCTTCTCTTCCGATTAAAAAGTTAAAGTTATGTCCAAAGTCTTGTTTCTGGCTGATTTTGCTTAGGGGTCGGTGATATGACTACCGTAAAGTAACTTATCTATGATCAAGACGCAACTTAGTCTACTCAAGCGTAAAATGGGGGACGGATATTTACACACGCGGTATCCTTTTCAGCACCCACAAAAGCAGCTCTGGTGGGAGTATTCTTGAGGTCATTGCACTTTAGCTGTCATTTTGTGGGATGGTACCAAAACTATCGTAGTTACATAGAAACATCTTCCTGAAGATAACCTCATGTGATACCAGTTTCTTTCTAGTTAGCAGTCAGGGGGAATTCTTCGGATGACTCGAACTGGAGCCATGGTGCACTACATTG